GAGGGGCGGTCACTGCTAAAATCGCTTCCGTGACTGGTCCAAGACTGCGGAAACCCCCGTCCTGGTCCGGTCTTACCTACCTCAACGATCCCGGCCCGCTCCGGTCCGGTCCTGCCCGCGTTTCACTCGTCCCGACCAACCCGCTCGTCTCAGCACAGCCCAGCAGCCCCCGCACCGGCTCTGTGGGGCTGGAGCACAACTTGGTACCGGAGGTCGGGGCCGGAGTGAGGGTGCACGGAGCCGGCCTTAGTAACACAACGCTGACGTTCAAGGCTTGTGGCCAGGTTTGGTTTTATATATAAAAAAATATATATAGCTCACGAAGCATCCTCTTTCTGAACTCATCTGCCAAACCCCCGTCCGCAGCTATGTGATAATGAAAGAGGACATATATACATACCATTATCACATAGCTGCAGCTGGGGGTTTACGATTTTATATGCACACACATACATACATACATACTGTTATCACATAGCTGAGGATGGGGGGGTTGGCAGATGAGTTCAGAAAGAGGATGCTTCATGCAGGGGAATCATAGGGGCAAAGAAGTCCAGAAGTGGTCGACACAGCAGGCAGAAAGGAAAGCAACACCAAGCTGTAGAGCTGCTCAGAGAAACTTTAGTGGAGCCGTATTCCATCAAAATCCCGACCCTTTAAAAAACTGGCCCCATCCCACTAAAATTTGATTTTGGAATAAAAGTGGGGAGAAGGTTCCACTGTGTCGAAACATCTCGTTTTTAAGTGTGCTTAGTAGTTTTGAAAGGACTTTTCATTCAAAATTCATTTTTCTTTTGTGTTTTATATATTTAAAAGTCACTCTCAAAAACAATCATTTCAGTTGACCAAACATAAATTCTCAAATGTCTTTCATGGAAATTTTTTGAAATATTTGGATGGACTGTTCCATTTCAAAACAGGCAAATTTTGTAATACGTTTTAAAAGCATAATTTCCAGCTTCTAAGCAACTGTAAGAGTCATTTTATAGTTGGTTTACACTTACAGGGTTTCGTTCGCTTGCCCTATAATGCTATATTGTAGGACTCATAAATAGTCAAGAAGAAAATTCAAATCCAATCAAACAATTTTTAGTGATTATTTCTTAAGCATAATTTTATTTTTAATTTCAAAACTTACTGTAAAAACATCAGTTAGCCAGACAAGATGTATAGACATACTAACAATATTCAAAGAGAATAAAAATCAGTGCTCAAAGAGAACAGTCTTTAAAACATCCTCGGGGGTCTTTAATAGACACCTGCTTTGTAAATGAAGTTGCAGAGAAGAAACAGCCAAGGTTAACCAGTCTAATTTAGACTATCATACTCAACAACAGAAGAAAAAAAATAGTTGTATGCAGTTTGTAATTTCTTGTAATGAAGCTTACATTTTAGGCTTCAAATACCATGTCCATGTAAAAGTATAAGAGAGACAGAATAGAGCTCATGGGACGAATCTCACTTCTGAGGACCCCGATGCAGAGAAAGATCCAGAGTTCACTTGCATGAGCTGCAAAAATTATACATACCAGTGTCACAAATTTCTCTTTATCTTAAGCATCAACTTAGCAAACTAATTTTTTTCTGCCCAAAACAGTTTTCAGAAAACTATTCCAAGAATGTTGAGACATACCTGTATTATTTTTATGCATAGTATGGGGCTATCTGATTAGTCTGTTTGATTAATATCATGCCATCTGCTACATGGGTGCAAAGACTTCACACTATTCTTAACAGATTTTTTGCATAGATGTAGGAAACTGAAGTAGACAGCCTCAATCACTGCTGCTTAACAAACAGTAGCTGCCCAAAGTCTCATTTCTGTATCGTTTTGGGCATAACCTCTTGGCTAATGGCAACAGAATGGTGGGCAACTTGTGAATACAAAGAACAACTGGGCTGTCTGGTTTTAAAAAGAAACATCTTCCAAAGTCAGAGTAGAGAGAAGTGAATCCCTTTCAGATCTATACCTGGATCCTTGATACAAATCCCAAAGGAAGCATGTTGCCAAGGCTAATCACAGCAGACCTTCCACCTAAACACAGACAGTAAGAGATGCTGAAACCTGGAGATCCAATTGAAAGTGGGACAAATTATAAGAATCACCTTGGAGAGAAGGGCAGGCATGGGTCCTCTTGCTTGAAAGGTGTCACTTTGAACAGGGTCAGTGGTACAACTTGCCCTGAAACCACAGTACAGTAGTAGTTTTATGCAGATGAACAAAGCAAGGAGGTGGCTATCTTCAAAGATTTTCTTCTCTTCAGTTTTGTAGGAAGGTGGGGGCATAACATCATTCCTTGCACTTGCATAATCTGAGCTGTGTGTACAAATTAAATAGCTAGAAGTCTAATTTGCTCAGATAATTGCTTTGTACACCCCACATCTGTTTTCCTATATCTGCAAGTCATAGATGACTAGATTTTTGCAACTATGGGTACCTACATTGTCAAAGAGACTAAGGCAGGAATCAGCAACCTACAGACTGCAGCGTTTCAGTGGCAAAGGGCTTTACCTAGGCAGTGGAGGAAAGTCGTGGCTGGGTTGGAACCAGGGATGATCCTACCTTGTGAGGTCCCTTCCAGTCCTACTTATGAACCTTCCCTTGGAGATCTGTTCTGCAGCAGGGGCTGAGTTAACATTGCCAACCATTGTTCTACAGTGTTGTGGCACAATGAGAACAAATTCAAAATTAAAAAGAAAGTTCAGGATGAAACCAACCTCACTGCTCACTGGCTAAATCTTTCACTTTAACATGCACCAAATTTCAGATAAATCCTTAAATCCGTAAGTTATATTTTGTACAACATGCATCAATCAGTTATTAGTCATGGCTATTATAACTGGTTTGAACCTTGGTTAGCACTGTTCGGAAAACAGAGCATTTCCACTTGTAACACCTACGCATACTGTTTTGTGTACGCCTCAAGTATTTGCATGAAGTGAACCAAGTTGAATAGTCCTTTCTGAGGTAGCAAAGGAACATTGTTTACCCAAAAAAGAACCATTATCTCCTAGTCCAGCTCACCAACCCACCACTTCCCTCATTCATAATTTTGTAAAAGCTCTTATTTCTGTATATTTTCCACTGTATCCTATGTTATGCTTAGGATGTCGCCTCTTTATGCAGTGGCCTAGCCTTGTTTCTTGGGGCAACAAAGGCACACTTTCTGTGATGAGGCAAAATACCACCTTTGTTTCTCCTTTTGAATAACTGTAACCAGCTCTGTTTAGGCCTTCTATATATAATGGAGATAGAGCCAGAGTTACGCTGAGTTTCAGGAGTGATTAAGTTGACCCTAGAAGCAATTCAATAGGAAGGACAAATTTGTGGAGACACAAACTAGGTATTTTGGACCACAGCCTAACTGGGTACTTGCCACCCTGTATTTGCAGCATCAGTGTTATTGAAGCAGTCCCTGTGGGGAGTCCTGGCTGATCTTCAGGGCCCTCACTACTTACCCCTGTCTTTCATCTCTGACCCAAAGGGTCATGCACTCTACCTGGAGTCAAAACACTCTGGAAAACTATGAAGAAGCACTGTTTGGTATAATGTGCAATCCTTACGTTTTCTGCCCTGTCCTGGGTCAGTCCACATGGTTTGATATCAATACCCTAGAACAGGTTGTCAAAATTATCACACTGCACAGGCCAGACAAATAGCAGAGGGCTGATCCAGGTGCCAAATCAGGCCCACAGACTGGCCCTGAACACCAGATCCAGTGTGCATGGCTGGTCCAAGACCCACAGACAGCAGTGTGGGTCAAATGATAGGATTCAGTGGGCTGCATCTTTTGACATCTCTGCCCTAGAGGGCCTGGGACAGGTTAACCTAGTCATGGGATCTTCCTTTACACTCTGGTAAAGGAAGTAATCTTGTATACGCTACTGAATCCACAGGCAACAAAAGGTCCCCTCTGGGGTGGGATCAATAGCTCTGGAGCTCACTTCCTCAAGCATCTTTCATAGATCAAACATTTCCAAGGCACACAATTCATAAAGTGGCTTAATCCTAGCTATATGCTTTACTTGGTGTAGGATAATTAAGGCATTTTACTATCAGTACAATTATTTCCTACATTCTCAATGGTTCGTTAGGCTAAATCCCAGTCTCTCCAAGTTGCCAGATAATTCTGTGCTACACTGTAAGAGTCCAACCACAGAGATTTTTAAGACCTGAATGCTACAAGAAAAGAGAAGTTAACTGCTCTCACTCAGAATCCTACTTTGGAACACAACTAGGTCCTGGAGTAGACCAGGTAAGAACTTACACTCAAGCTGCCATGGTGAAATAGTCATATTAGATAATACAGGAATACCAGAAGCTCTGAAATTTCAGAAGATTAACTTTTTGCATAGCTTGCCAGCTTAAACACTGTAGAAAGTTGAACCAGAAAGTTAGCTGTAAGAACACTCTTACAATCTTCAAAATAACATTTCTTATAAAGCCACAGATTGTTTTATTCTCAAGTACAACAATGAGAAATTTAAGACAAAGCCTCTTAAGATTACAACCCTTTGTAAAAAAAAAAAGTGCCATCAACCTGTGGCAACATTTTTATTCTCCTCATATGGTTTTAGTGCATACTTTTTTGGGTTTTATTGCTACTGCAGTCACATGGAACATAGCTGTGAACTGCATCTACTGTGTGGGGAAGATCCCTAGAGCTCATAAGTGAACAAGGGACTGCCATCAAATCCATATCCCATGAACAATTAATGAATTTCCACTGTTATGGAAAGATTTAACACACAAAAGTTTACAGCAGAGAAGAGGAGGTATAAATCTTCACAGGCACATTGTTAGTGTAAGTAGTAATGTAGGAAAAAAATAAGCCATTTTGAATGCAAGGCAAATATTAAGGCATTAAGTAGGTGTGGTATCCAACCAGCTATGTTAATGGCATCTTTGGATCAATGGAGTGTTTCATCTGGAGGAAATCTCTTCTTTACCTGCAAAGCAAGAGGCAATTTAGTTATTCCCTTCCATAGATTTTTACTAAGATAGACTTGCTTGGGAAATTTACTTCCTAAGAAGATGCAGCGCTACATAGCAGGGCTCTGCAATTGTCGCCAAACAACTCCAGAGTACCACCAGGCAGAATCTTTCTACTTGTATCTTGAGAGAGACAGGGGTCAAACACTTTGTACCATCTACGGTATTAGTCCAACATTTACAAGATTTAGTGTATCTACATCTCAGGAACAAAATGTTCCAGCTAGGACACCTCCAAATGCCCCAGCAGCAAGGCACCAGTGAAGCTAGTCTGGGGTCATCTCTAGTGCCCACTTCAGCACTCTGAGAATGGCGAATGATACTCAGGAAAGGCTTCCCTAGTGCATTTCCTAGCTTGGAGCACACAAGAGGTATACAATTCAGGAGTATCTGCTCTAGGACAGGCTGCTGTCACACTGGCTGTAAACATCCACTTGCTTGCAACATTAGAAGCAACTATATTAGCTCTGCCCTGGAGAGTTCTATTTTTTAAAAATTATTTCTATTACATTGGGAGCCAGCAAACTGGATCAGGCCCACTATTCTGCTGGATAGTAGCACAGGGCACACGGAGACATACTCTGCTGCTTGATCTAGGAACTAAGACAAGTAACGTGAAGAATAAGAAGGAGCGAACATGCAATAGAAGTATAGGGATATTTCTAAATGCGCTACTGGGAGGCACTTGGCCACCACAGGGATGAAGCTATAGAGAATACAAGTGGCTTCAGAGGCAGATACAAAAACTATGTAAAGTCACATTTTCAGCTGATAATTTGAGTGCCAACCCATAACCACTTGCCCCTTCAAACCATTAACTGGGTTGTACGGGGAAGTCTATTATTATCCTGATACTAATAGGTATTACTGTTTGAATTAGAGAGACAGGAATGACAAAGGTTAATTTGTCCCATCAGATGCATCAGTCCCATCTGATTCCATGCAATGGAAAAGATGGTTTACTTGAAAGTTTCCCCTAGTACCATGCATATAGTTTTTTAAATACTTTTAATTAATTGTTGAGCTTTAAAAAGTTAGTATTTCACCCTCTTTGTTTTAGCTCTGTATTCTGTCCTTAATCTTAAATCTAAAGACTGATGATGGATACAAAATATTTTTTTTTCCTGTATTAGCCTTGATTTTGGACAAGCACATCTCAGAAAAAAAAAAATCAAAATAAACCAGACAGGTGAGAATTCTGGCAGGTGCTCTAAAAATTTAGCAACACACACAGATTCTCCAAGACAATGCTAAAGCTGCACATATGAGATTTTTGGCTGGAGTCTACTTGGGTAGTTCAGTCTGGAGCAAGAAGCATCACTAACAGCTGTGTGGCTGTATTGATGCACCAGGGGTAGGACAAGAGAGCAAAGGATTGGAACTCCAAGAGCTTAATTCAAAGCTGATATTCCCAGCAGTCCAAGGTCCTGTCAACAATCAGAAGAGTAACCATCTTTAAACAGAACAGGTGGGGGCCAAGCATGCCTGAATGCACTGCTCTTTTCTAAATGGCAAAAGAAAGACATTCAAGAAACTACACAATAATCTGCAAATACTCATTCCATCCAGGAAGAGCACAAACCAACTGCAGATGCTTCCTCAGCCTGATGAAAGGTATTTGCATCCAAAAGCTTACAAAGAAAAATTTTTCCAACTGAGGTGGTCTAATAAAAGATATCAGATTTACACAAATAACCTCGTCTTCCTATGTCCTTAGACCAACACAGGTACAACCTGTACCCCTGGAGCATGGGTTCAACATTCCGAGAGGCAAGGAAAACCACAAGTAACACGGGACACAGACAGCTGTACCCATCAAGACAATCAGGAAAGCACTCAGCCTGTAATTTAGATTCTTGGGTAAGAATCTGGTTAAACAATTTGTCCTTGCTGTCTCACCTTCCCCTCACACAACAGACTTTAGAGGGTCATTTTATCAGGTATTAATATCCCCTCTCCTCCTCAAGACCAGTTTCTCTCCAAAGCTTTGGAACACTCCTCACTAATGGGAACAGACAGATATTCTCTGGATAGCTTGCCTGAATTTTAGGAGCATCTCTTGCCTCCAGCTTGTGCCTCAAACAGCAGCAGGCAGCTCACTTAATTAAAAGCAGACCCCATCCTTTCTGTCTTAAGTGACCATTTTGTCCAGGCGAGTAAATCCCAATTCCAATCCTGTGGTCTGCTCAAAGTTTGCCAGCCCTTCTCCTTGTGGTCAAGGTCACCAGTCAGCAGAAACAGCACTATAAATCGCACCAACTAAGTCCAGTTTGGCTGCCTCATGCTATCCAAGGCCCATATTTGTAGCAGAGCCAAACAAAACTTTGGCTTCTACTAGCTATTAAAAGTGGAGAGAGAGACCTACGTAGTCTGACACACTCCTAGTTCAGGCTGAACCTAATTTGAAACACTAAGGCTTTGCTTCAGCACTAATGCTCAGGAAGCTTTATAGCCAGAGTCGAATCAAGCTATAATGTCAGCTATCATCTGTCAACTGCTGTTCAACTCTTTCCAAAACACAGAAAATTATATTAATTAGGACAGGAATTAAATTTGCAAGACAGAAGCAGATCGAAAAAGCACAGCACTTTGAATAATTCCGTCTCATCAACATAAAAAAGCCATGGACTTAGTCTCCCATTTTATGCCTCTCCCCAGCAAATCTCCACTTATGCCACCCATTTCCAAATCCATTCCTTCAAAGATGGCACCTGAAGTCAATGTGCCACTTCAGCAGGCAGCCTTGATGGCGGTTTCCAATATGACCAATATAAGCTTCCAAGAACAAGACCTGTACAGTGTTATGGGAGTGAGTAGTAGGATAAACCATTCTCCTTACAACTGCCTGTGGGCTGCTATCTAAAACAATATGGTGGCCTACAAGATTTGGCACTTCACTGACACAAGACAGACCTCTTTGGTCATGTGCACCACTTCCCCAAAGAGGTGTTACTTTAGAGCATCAGAACAAGGGTATTACCTGCAGAACAGGCAGATGGGCCTCAAGTTGATGAGAAACTAGCTCCTCAGCTGGATTTTCCATTTCCTATTTTTCCTTTAACACCTGAACATAAAAGAAGGGGGTGGGGGGAAATACTCCTTTTGATGCTCTCCCAATATTTGTTCTCCCATGATACGACCCTTTTCTCACAGCTTTCCAGGAAGCGAATGCAGTCTAGACAGCATCCCAGTTTTGTAACAATTGTCTCCAAATTTGATTAACATTGAGTACTGAAATACATCATAGTTGCAGCCCACATAAAGACAGCCTAATAAATAAAGAAGTGATTAGCAACTAGGGTGCCATGATAGCCTTTAAAGGTGCCATTGGGGGAACAGGAGATAAGTGAGATAAGCAAGATAAGCTTGAGGAGACAAGTGCAAACTCTTCCCTTACAGCTACTCTCCTGCCCCCATTTATTAGAGCAGGCTCTTCCCTGATGGCTGCTGCTCCTCCTTCCCAGCCTATCTTCAAGCAGGTAAATACTACTGTTTTCTAAATGGGGTGCTGCTCAACTCACAGAGTTATGAAGGATGTCTTGAGTCTAAAAAGGTTGAGAATCACCAGAACACAGGGTAGTTGTCCCCCAGGTGTCCCCCTCTTGAGCCTTCCCCACCTAATGATAAAATGAAAGGACTCCAACCACACTTACCTAATCCACAAACAGCTGTGGCAGAAGACAGAGGACCTTAAGGCCAGTGATGTTTAAGATACCAGATAGTTTCATTGTTTAACTGTGGTCCGAAGAGAGGGTTGAGCTGGGCCAGGATCGCAATCAGCCAACTGAAGACAAAACATAGGAGACATCAGGAATGTGGACGATGGAAACTTGGCCAAAAGCTGTGAGGGCAACGGACGGACAACATTGAAGGCCTAACACCAAATCAAAACATGGCACAGCCCATGCTCCTAAACCTCCAAATTTAATCCAAGTTTCAAGCATCATATGCTGCTAAAAACTGTTTGGTGTCAGTGCCGTTGTCTGATTTCAAATGACACTGTTAGAGGCAAATGGAAATTCTCTTTAATACACTTTTTCCTTTGGAGAGCAAGTACCCCAGGAAATATTCATTATCTTCCCAGACCATAACATGAGCCTTCCCTGAGAGCCACTCAAGACCTCTAAGACAGGGGTTCCCAACCTTTTTGTGCTGAGGACCGGCCAGCCATGGACCAGCAGTGACCGGCATACTGTGGGCAGATAACCAACACTTTTTAGTACTCAGTATAAAAAAAAGGGTTGGCTGCCGGTCCACAGTATGCTGGTCACTTCCAGTCCGAAGTTTTCCAGTCCACGGTCACTTCCGGTCCGGTAGCCAACCCTTCGCAGCCCGGCACCGGCCCAGGGGTTGGCAACCCCTGCTCTTAAGAAGTGTGGGACAGGGCATGTCACTAAAGTAGGCCAACTCCAAAACAAACAAGCTTTTTGATCTCATTCAATCAAACTATAACTATGCCGAGCATTAGCTATTCATAATACAAAAGGAAGCTTATACCACAGCCTTATTTATGCCTGTCAAAATAAATATTAAGGCAAAGCCCAAGTGAAAGAATAGAGTCTATCAATTAAAGCACAGGAAGAGGAGTTGGGAGATAATTCTTGAGTTACTTTGTCATATTGGCAAGAAGTCACCAAATAACAGGTTCCCCTCACGTAGTTAAATGATACTCGTATGAATCAGAAATGCAAGGCCTAATGTTTACTAAGCACCTTTTGACCCACTAAAGCAAGCTTGTCCAACATACAGCCCGCGGGCCACCATGTGGCCCACCCATGCCGTTTTCTGAGGCCCAAGGTGCTGCAACGGTTCCCACCCCTTGTCCCTCCCCCAGCCCCTCAGCAGCTTCCTAATGGGGGTGGGGGGGAGGGGAGGGGGGCTGGTGCCCTTTGGCCGGCCCACTGGGTGATAAGAAGTTGATGATCCAGTCCCACATTCAAAAAGGTTGGAAACCCCTGCACTAAAGGGAGGGTTAAGAAAATCATATGTATTAACTGATGCCATTTGTTGCCATATTCAGAGGGGAAAAAAAGTAACCCTATTCTCCCATCTTCACCTTCTTGTGAAAACTGTGTTGGGGCTAGAAGAACTTGAGCAAAGGAAAAATGTAGACTTAGATCAAAGGTTAGGAAAATGGATGTCTAGAGCAAGAGGGTTCAAAAGTACTAGAACAATGTCAATAGGAAAAAAAATCCCACATCAG